CACGAGGATGCTACCCTCCTCCCCCATCAGTCAGCTTCTGTACGAGTTTTTAGAAACCCTCGATGACCCAGATGACATGAATTAACTTGTCGAAAACCCTTAAAAGAACCAGAAACCCAATTAACTCGACCCGCTCTCACTCAGACACAGGGGCGGCGTTAGGCCCGGCTACTTGGGCTGCAGCCCCGGATGTTTCATGAAAAGCCCTGGATCTAAATCGCGGAAGTAACATGCAGTACCAAAGTCCAACAGAGAGGGAGCAGCTGGCAGTAGTTTGTATACAGCCTGCCTGAGCCTCCACCATTGAAGAAGAAGCCCTTCAGCAGCCGGCTTCTTCTAAACTCTCTGCCTGAAACGCATGAGTGAAGATGGACATAAGGACGTTTTTTAGACAAAAAGTACGACAGAACCCCAGCTTTGATGAGACTGGTGTTGACTCAGGTTTGTGAGTCTTATTTGAAAATATTTGTTGTGCTGCTGGTTTGCCTAAAGTTAGCTTATCAGGTAAAGTTGATGGAGAAAGAAAGGGAATATTTACTATCATCCAGTGGCGGGCGGTGCGTTCCACCCCTGGGCCTTCAGTGATTTCCTATTCAGTCCAATCTAATTTAATACACCTTAAAATACCATCAATAGGACATCACAGCTGGAGAAACCACACACACACACACACACACACACACACACACACACACACACACACACACACACACACACACACACACACACACACACACACACACACACACACACACACACACACACACACACACACACACACACACACACACACACACACACACCAGTGGCTGGTCAAGACACATAATTTCCAGAGTCTTTAAAATCAAACTTGCATTCCCAGTTGAGAGTAGGAAGCTGACCACGGATACTGTCAAATCTCAGAAATGAAAGACGGGTTTAAAAGATGAGACAGTAAAATAAATAAGTAAAGCAAACACATTATTTGCATTTGTTTTGGAGAAAATTGCACCGCGAAACAATTGAACATGTTGGCGCAGCTGCACACACCACATCATACACAATATAAATTGCATAGAAACAGAACACAGAATAATTTCATTTTGCCATTTTATTTCATTACCATTTATTGATTATTAACAAAATAAAATGACAAAACATTAAAAAAATATTAATAAAATGTTTCTACTCACCAACATAAATGTCCAGCATGGATCTCCTCCTCTCCTGCTCATTAGAAAATAAAATCCATCCTTCTTTCTTTCCTCAGGAAAACCTGCTCTGTACAGTTCATCTGTGCACTTCAGGTCCATGAGTAGATCCTTTTCTACGGACATGGAGGCTAATGCTGAAAGACGTGTCTGTCCGGTCGTGTTTCTGGCGTACATTTTTACGCGTTTTAATGCTACCAAATCCATCTGATGCGAGCAACGGGCATTCCCAGCAGAATAACCTGCAGCGGTTCTCTGAAGCTGTTAGCCATGGGTACCGTTCATAGTTGCTTGCCTGAAAATGACGAACAAATCCTTTCCCCTGCTGGGACAAGCCAGCTAGCGTTGGAGTCAGACGACCTGTTCTCACAATATCCATTTTTTCTTGAAAGGTCCGTCTTGAAAATGGTGTGGCAAGTTAATCTGCAACCAAGTCTGTCTCTTCTCCTCTTTCAGCCATCATTTGTACAAAAATACACCGATAGCTGCCTATAGGTACAAATCTCCGTATTTAGTTTTGATATTTTGCTTAATGCTGCTAGAAAAGTTCTAACTACTGCTTATCCAATCACAGGATGCGTTCATGTCAACTTTTGCATGAGGCCAGCTAGCTGGCCCGGGCCAAGCTGACTCGTGAGCTGATTGGCTATCGCAACTGGCTCGTCTCTGTTCACTTACAGCGGACAGTGGGCTTCTCGATTGATTCTGAAGGCCTAGGGCAGACTTAATCTGCCTGAAAACACAAGCTAGCTTAAATCTGATTGGATAACACCCAGCCTTGGTATTTTTACACTGGAAGCAGCACAGCCATGTGGTTATAATAGGATATAAAGAAAATAGACCAGTAAACATTTTTTTAATTTTAAAATAATTACCAAAGGAAAAAAAAATACATTTACGCTTTTGAGTACGTTTAGGCCAGCTGAGAAGGCTTTGCTGGCCCTGACTGCCCACCACTGCTATCATCTCACACTAAACACTAACAGGAACAATACTCTGCCCTGAAAATGCTTAATATGTCGTTTCAGATTAAAAATTATGTGGTACAAGACATATATGATGTTGACTAGTGCGTGTCACGTGTGTGTGCGCGTGTGTGTGTGTGTTAAGCCCCGGATCTTCTTCAGTCCTAAATCCGCCCCTGCTCAGACCGATATCTGCATCTCTTTAGGCTCACTCACACATATCATGTTTCTGTTAGTCAAACTGCCCGTTAACAAATGGCTGTCAGAGAACCAGCTTTATGCTGTTTAAGTGTTTGCAGATGAGGAAAGCCTCCTTACTGCTCCATTATCAGCTCTATGAAACAGGATCTGCCTGTGATATGTCTAAGGAGCTTCTTTTTTTGTTCAAGTTGTGTGAATAAAAGGCAAATGGATGTTTCCTTTAATGGATCCTGATGATGATTTATTTCATACAGGAGACTCCAAGCACAGGCCTGGTGTTAAAACCTGCCGGTGAATGTGAGGTTTGTTGTTTAGCACATGTTAAAGGCTTTTTGTCTGCAAAATAACCTTTGACTCGTCTTCAGCAGAGAAGTTTTCCTGTTTCTGAGAATGATCTGAGGGACTTTTATAACTTGTTACATAATTGGACGTTCATCCTGCAGAATCTGTAAAATAATGTCCTGATGAGCGAGAAAGCTTAAAATTGTAAAACAAACCTTTATAAAATAAACTAAAACATAACTAAACTCAGGGAGATTCTTCCTGGTTAATGGAGCAATATGTAAGAAATCTACGGTGAAGGGTACTTTGAAACAGATTTCATTCTCAGCCAGCAGGGCGTTGTCAGTTTTTCTCCTTTTTCTTCCTTTCAAAATAAAACTAAAGAGGGACAAAGTCACAGTCTACAATCTGTGAGCTAGTGAGTTTGTAGAGTCTGCTCCGAGCCTAATGCTGCAGTGCCGGCATTTGTAATGCGATGCTGGCAAACAAAAAACACTTCAGAGTGATTTAAAGAACCAAGGCCGATAAACAGGAGTGACCCAGAAGCAGTGTTAATTTAGTTGATGAAAAAAAAAGGTTTTTTCATGACTGATTCATTTTTGCGAACAAAAATGAAACGACAAGTTTAATTTGTACTTCTGTGAAAGACTAAATTTTGACGAATAATGATCAACATTTTTATCGACGAATAAAAGACGACAACGAAAATTGATAGTAATGAAAATCTAGCCAGAAAACTGAAAAGATGGGAGAATAGAAAAGAGAACCAATCAGCAAATGGAACTGACAGGACTAGAGGAGAAAAGAACCAATCAGAGTTTGAAGCCAGTACTACAGGTAACAGTTGTATCTAAAAGGAGAAAACGTCCACAGCTGGGAGGAAAAGCATTAGATGTTTCGATCTGAAAAGTATTTGCATGGTGAGTACACATCTGGGGTTTCCCCTGGTTTTAAAAGTGAACGGTGCTAGAAGCGAGCGTTGGTGGTGGTCATCACATCGGTTTACTGTGCATGGCTCGTCTTCAATTGTCATCTAGAATCTTCTGGTGCTGATCCCTAACTTGAAAATCACGGAACGGGAATGAGAGTCTCCTTTGGTTTAAAAGAATGAACAGCTGTAATCAAACTTGACTATAGGATGTCATTCTCACTTTTCCCCTACATATTGCACCTTTAATTTTATTAAGCAAATTGAAATATTACAAAAACAAAATTGTGCATTTCACAAATCTTTTTCCATCACATATTTTTTGGGGGTAAAAAGAGTTTAGAAATGAATGTACTGTGATAGTCATAACTTAAGATCTTTAAAGCAGAAGTCCAGAGTTCTTTTGTCAGAAGACACCATCTAGAGGCAGAAAAATGTACTGCATCTTAAGCCCCTTTCCCTACTTCTGTGACAATAGCTGGAACCAAAGCCTCTATGTGCACTTCTAGCCAGCCAAAACATTGTTTTATGGTTAACATTGTCTTGTTGTGCTCTTTATTCATACATATATTTATTAAAGTCTTCCTTGTCCATAATAATATTTTGCCAACTCTGCATCATTCTAGGGACTTCCTCAAATACGTGCACGCCCTGCGTTTGACAAAGCGAATGTCTAATGCTATTAGCTAATGATGAGTGGCGCTCAATTCAAATTGCATGGAACTCTAAGAGACAGGGAGCGAGCTTAGCTAAATAAATAAATTAACTTAATGCCTACATTACATCCCAGTCTAAGACCATTACCTTAACGGATTTCCCAAAACATCATACATAATTCCTTAAAAACTCCGGTCAGCTGCTTTGAAGTAGATTCCTGTAATTTATTGATAATTTTTAAATCCATGTTCAAATTCATGCGAATGTCCCTCTCATCCATTGAAGCCCTTTTTTCAGTGCTCTCACATAATGTATCATTAGATTCCTGACTTTCTTTTGGATTGCATCAAATGCCTATTTCATCCCACCTTTTGATTCCTCTAGATTACTTTAGCAGCTGAGTGTAAATCTGATTTAGGCCACGAGCACACAGAAATATCTAGAAATGAAATCCTCAGCTTTTCCAGAGGTCTACCTTTTGCATTTCTGCTGAGGACTTAAATCCTGGAGGCCAGGAGCTGGAATGATTATTCCAGTATTTCTGTTGATACAAGATGGAGTTACTATCAAATCTGAAAGGACACAATTTCCTGTGTACCGAGCCCCGTCACTGTCTCGCCTGTAATGCTGAGCGTCAGAAGTAAACAGCAGATAGTGGCGTGAGTTTTCTCCATCGTCTCTTTGTGATCGCATCGACACAAAGCCAGGATCTAAATCCAAACCCGTTATTGTGGACTGAAAGCCGACAATCTCTGACGCAGCTTTGTGGTTTTTCAGATGGTGTTCCTGTGTGGACTGTACCAAAGTCACCTTCAGGCGAGCAACTGAAGAACGGCGGTCTGACTCCTCTTCGGTCAGCCGAGCCCTCCCCGGCCTTCAGGAAAAGGAGTCTGTCCCATGGTGCCGAGGTAAGAGATGCTATTTAGTGTTTGTGAACGTGCTTTTAAAACGCCTAACTGCTGGTATTTGGCTGCCTGTAAAATAAATCATATGAAATCCTTTAAATTCATCCTAAATTGTGATTGAAGTCATCGTAGAAACACATTAGGACGACGAAGGTTTGTCTCTTCAAAGGTTGAGTTTCATCACCTTTGCTGAAGTCAAACCAGACATATTATTCAAAACTCACCTTTTGTGATGTCGTGCGGGTCTCTGCTGCCTCTATTAACACTCAACATGAATAAAACCCATCCTCCCATTTTCTGTATGTGTTTGGTTTTAGGAATTTTGTGCCTTAAATAAGCTGTTTCAAAAAGTCCCTGTTTGTGATGTCACAAACGGGAAAATTAGCATAGAACCATCTCTCACTAATAAGAGAAAGCTGCTGCTGGATGAGCAGTGGCTCTACTCTGAGCCACTCCCAGATATCGAAATGAGCTTCTCAGCTAATAGCAGCCTGAGTTGTGGATAGGTGTGGGTGTGACCAGGTCCAGCCCGTGACAGTGACAGAGCCCTTAAACGGCTCATTCTGGAAGGAGCTGAAAATATCAAGAATAAAACTACTGAAATATCTTCACATGAGAAGGATTTAGTGCAGAGAACTTCGGAAACATGCTTTGTTATCCCCCTTAGAACTATTTAACTTAAAACTAATGCAAACGCTCTGATTTTTCAGGAAAGAACCGCCCTCTCGGAAAAATATGCACCACTCTACCGTGCACGCTCAGTTTACAAGTAGCTGCCGGCCTTACGCTCGCCACTTCTAGTGGTCATCTGAAATGCATTTCTCCAAATAGCATACCAGGTTTAGCTTACCTGTCGAGCAGCAAACTGGTGACAGAGGTGTCTGTGGAGAGCCCAACCTTCTCTAAAAGAGTCTCCCAAATTACCTCTGGTATTATTTCCCACTTCGGGTGCCTTTCCCTTCTTATCGTAGGCGTGGACACTTATTTCTTGCGACTCTCAGCCATTTTCAAAAGAACTCTGAGAACGGAGATGTAGAACGAAAATAAACACGTGAAAACTAACCCGGGAGTGAAGAGCGAGCACGCATGACGGCCTTCACCAGAATGATTGACAGTTATGCAGACCAATGATCCACCCAGAAGAAAAGTATGTCCGCATTACCTTTAAGAACAATCGCCATGTAATATTCCCTTTAACTCACTTTGTTAGCCCTGGTCCCACCATTAAATGCCAGAGTGCATCAACAAGGGTTGGCTGCTTGTGCTTTGCTTCCCATTGGATGATTTTAATTTCTGTTTAATAAACTTGAAGGAAGGACTCTCCAAAGGAAAGATCGTGCACTGATGGCTCTCTTTCAAAGTTGTTTCCTGCAACCCTAACATCCCTAAAATTCGTCAAATATGGCAAACAAACACATTTTCTCACCATTGCTTCCTCTGAAATGACTTTGCTACGTTTCCAATGTTGATGCAGTCAGGATCTCTGCCCCTCCTCTCCTTCGGTCTCTCGCGTTCACACTCGGAAAGAGAAGCTCTCATCTCCTCTGAAAGTTTCAACAGAGCTGCTGTCAAATAAGTGGGTCACACGCCATGGAGGTGGTGCTGAGCTGGTCCCGGGAGGTCTTCAGAGACTCCTTTCTGGCTACAGCAGAAAGGGCCGTCTGGACACATCAGCAGGAAGTAACGGCAGGTGACTCAGGCTTGTTGTGTAGATCAGAGCAGGAGACAGTACTGTTGTGCTGATCTCCTTTTCTTAAAACTGTTAATACTAATATACCAAGTTTTGAGCCGTCGTAGGACGGATCACAGCAACAAGCACTGAGACGTATTCATCACTATGGAAATCTGTCAATATGCCATACACTGTCCTTTTTCTAAATAATTGATTTCTGCTAAATAAACAGAGACTCGTCATCCAGACCAGATGATCTTAACAAGCTGAATCAAAAACAGGAAATTTGTTCATTCTTAAAGATATTTTACATCCTAACTTTGTCGCAGGAGAAGCAAAAATTCTTCAAGAATCCACAGAAGTCGTCCTCGGGTTGAAATCTTGATGCATTTTATTCAAAACTCTTTTGTTTTGGATATAAATGTAACCAAATATAAGCACACATTCATTTTTATTTTGAGTTTTCCTGACGGGAATCAAATATATCCTCGTTTGTCATCCTGTCTGCTGAACAAAAGCGTTCCTCAGCTCTGAACAGGAGGAAGATTAATGGTTGATAAATCTTCCCTTTCACCACCACGCCTGCTCCTAACATCCTTTTTGTCAAAAGGTTAAACTAATTACCAGAGTCCCGTTGAACGCTCGCGTCACATCCCATAATGAGCTGACAGTCCTGTCAAGCTAACCACAAAATAAATGATTGGAGGCAGAAAGAGGGAGCTTTTCTACTCGTTGTGGGCTGAGAAACGAGTAGAAACGTGAGCTTTCTGTCTGAACGACATGAAATACTGCTGCATGAACGGGCTAGCGTTAGCTTCACTTTTAGCTAACTACATCAAACGGCAACAGGAAAGAGACTAGAGTTTGTTGTTGATTTGGGTAAATTACAGCAAAGGGATTTCTGAAAACATAAATTTGGGAAACAATCTAGCTAACTTTGTTAAATTTGCATTAGCATAGTGATACCAGTGGTTACAAATATCTAAATCTGAGCAGAAGGATTGGAATAATTCACATCAAGTGTGGAAGATTTTAAGGAAAGGCGAGTTTGCCATCTTGTGGTGGAGAGACGTACTGCAGCATTCTGGGTCAGGAAGTATGGGATTACATCCCAGAGTTCCAATACATCAATGTTAATAATTTTAAAGACGTTTTTCGCACAGCTTTTTCCTCTGCTGCTTCCATAAAGGAACTCTACAGATCAAGGTCAGTTTTAGATCACTTTGGTTGTTTGTAAGTAGCAGCATAAATACAGAAGCCCATTATCCTGGATGATAAAAGGCTTCACGTGTGAGTTATGAAACACCGCTGTGGCCATTTGCATTCAGGCTCCGTTTGCAGCCAACAGGAGGGGAATCCGACGCGTGACTCCGGGTGGAAGTGAAGAGGAAATTGCTGCTGCTTGCAGAAATCTGTCAGAATGTTGCAGATGCATTGAGCCACGTGAATGTACTTACTGGGTTGGTCTGAAATCAGCTGCCTCTACAGAGGGATGTGAAGGTTTGGGGAGCCTTGTTAATCCTCATGATTTTCCTGTATAAATCGTTAGCTGTTATGACTAAACTTTCAGGTAAACATATCATAAAGGAGAAGTCCATAATTGAGAAGTGAAATGAAGTTTATAGGATTTACAGAAAGTGTGTTTAGTTTAAACAAAATTAGGCAGGTGCATACATGTGGGCACTGAGCTCATTTTATTGGTCCCAAAACATTTAGAACTAATAATTGTAACTCAGAATTGGTTTGGTAAGTCCAGTGACCCTTGACCTCCACACACAGTGAATCTAATTATGAGAGAATATTTAAGGGGGCCGGCAGAAAGTCGGGCTCATTCCCAGTGAGAGTTGGACTCCGCCAAGGCTTCCCTTTGTCACAGATTCTGTTCATAACCATTATGGACATGATTTCTAGGTGCAGCCAAGGTGTGGAGGGCATCCTTTTTGGTGGCCTGAGGATCAGGTCTCTGCTTTTTGCTGATGATGTGGTCCTGTTGGCTTCATCAGAACGTGATCTTCAGCTTTCACTGGAGCGGTTTGCAGCCGAGTGTGAAGCGGCTGGGATGAGAATCAGCTCCTCTAAATCTGAGACCATGGTCTTGATTCGGAAAAGGGTAGAATGCCTTCTCCGGGTCATGGATGAGGTCCTGCCTCAAGTGGAGGAGTTTAAGTATCTCGGCGTCTTGTTCACGAGTGAGGGAAAACTGGAGCGTGAGATCGATAGGTGGATTGGTGCTGCATCTGCAGTGATGTGGGCGTTGTACCGGTCTGTCGTGGTGAAGAGAGAGCTGAGTCAGAAGGCAAAGCTCTCGATTTACCGGTCAATCTACGTTCCTACCCTCACCTATGGTCACGAGCTTTGGGTAGTGACCGAAAGAACAAGATCGCGGATACAAGCGGCTGAAATGAGTTTTCTCAGAAGAGTGGCTGGGCTCCCTTAGAGACAGGGTGAGAAGTACGGTCATCCGGGAGGGGCTCGGAGTAGATTCGCTGCTCCACATCGAGAGGAGCCAGTTGAGGTGGCTCGGGTATCTGTTCAAGATGCCTCCTGGACGCCTCCCTGGTGAGGTTTTCCGGGCACGTCCAGCCGGGAGGAGACCTAAAGGTAGACCCAGGACACGCTGGAGGGACTATGTCTCCCACCTGGCCAGGGAACGCCTTGGGATTCCCCCGGAGGAGCTGGCCCAAGTAGCTGGGGGGAGGGAAGTCTGGGCCTCTCGACTTAGGCTACTGCCCCCGCGACCTGACTCCGGATAAGCGGATGAAAATGGATGGATGGAAGGATTTTTAAGGGGGCCAATTGTAAGTTTCCTTCCTCTGCATATCCTCTGAAGAGTAGCAGCATGGGGGTCTCAGAGCAACTCTCACATGTTCTTAAAACAAAGATTGTTCACCATCATAGCTTAAGGGAAGGATCCAGAAAGCTGTCTCAGAGAATTCAGCTGTCTGTTTCCACAGGTAGGAACATGTAATGTCCAGAAATGGTCAGTTTTCATGTACAGTTGGACCCCTTCAGTATTTGGTCATATGGAGACAGGAGTCTACATTTGTGGCCTTTAATCTGCCAGATCCTGCCATTCCATCAGCTGGAGTCCGGGCTTCTCTGCAGCTCGGAATACATGATAACATATTGTCAACAAACCATTCCCTTCTCAAGCTCCTTCTGTGTCAAGCCTGCCTGGTTAGCTAGGCCGGACTGGACTGTTATGCGAGTGTCTGTTTTCAGCTTATGTGTTAATCAATCGGGACATGGAAAGAACAAATGTTATATGAAATGATTAATAGCAAGATTCCTTAAGAATCCGTTCGAGACGCAAACTAGTTTCAACCTGTCG